GGTTCTCTTTATTTTTGGGAATAGGAAAAAGTCAGACAGAGGCATGTCTGGCGAATATGGAGGCTGGGGCATCATTACAGTATTGTTTTTGGCCAAAAATGTTGTTCAAAATTTAACAATTTTAGAAGAAATTTTGCTGTCACGCGTTTCATACCCAAAACATTCGAAAAAATTTCATGGGATGAGCCAATCGATATACCAACATTATCAGCGACTTCTCTGATGGTTTATAACCATTTCTTCCACTGTTTCCATGTTTTTATCGGTTGTTAATGTGCTTGTGCGTTCAGGGCGTTCGTCATCTTCAACGCCTTCACGGCCATCTTGGAACCTCTTATACCACTTGTAAACTCTTGTTTTACTTATAGCAGACTCACTATAGGCCTTTGTTAACATTTTACAGAATTTATTTCATTTTTTAAGCAAAATTGGATACAAATTTTTTGAACCATTTCTTTTAACGAACGAAAAATCGCCGAGCTCATAAAACACGTCTAACCTTAGCGGCTGCCACAGACAAAGTAAACAATGAAAACAGCTAAAGTTTTTATCATACTTAGGGGCATGTATACCAACATAATAAAGAGAAATTTTATGACAACCGGACACTCCGAGCCCGCGAAATTTAACAATTCCTGTTATTTTCTGAACACACCTCGTATAGTGAGGTTAGGTAGCTTCAGAGTTGTCACAGGTATCGAATTATATGATTGGTCCTAGTAAGTTTTTTACAGACTAGGATGTAAAAAACTTTACCTCAATTAGATAACCCAACTGGTTAAATAAATACCTATCTAAATAAAAAATGTTAAACTTGTGTTTAAACCAATTAGTTGTATTCAACAATTAACATTTTTTTAAGGTAACTATGAATGAAAAAATAACCCTTTAAGTTTACCAACCGGTTGCTATAACCTTAAGGTTATTGTTTAGTTTAATTTAAGTAATAAAAGAATCCTTTTGGTAATATTACTAACTAGTTAAATACTTGGCTTATTTAAAGTCAATTTAAACCCTTTAAATAATACTTACCTATAATACACCAAATAATTAACTAGTCAGTAATATTACTTATAAGTTAAAAAGTAGGTTATTTTAAAAGTTCCATAACGTTATATTAACTTCTAATTTTGACGTATAAAAATGGTTAAGACTAGTTATTTTTTTTTAAACATATTTGGTTTAGTTTCACTTTTGATTTAACTTGTTGGTAAATTAACCACATCTATGGTTAATTTGGATATATTTTTTTAACTAACAAGTTATATTTTACCAAATATATTTTAACTTGCTAGTAAATTAACGATAATTAATAACCTGGTTAAAAATTAGTTTAACTTAACTAATTTTTGGTAATTAATAAATAATAACTTTAATTTAATCTAATACCTTGGTAGTGAGATACAAACCACAAAAAAACCCTGGCTACGCCCCTGCGTAAACTTTTTTTTAATAAAGTTAACATATTTTTTTTGATAATTCTGATTGGTTCATCGTGCTCTGAACCACGTAAGCGCACACGTGTGCGCTCGTATGCTGTGCAGGGAGATATATACGGGGGGCTCTGGGAAGTGGAACCGGTTCCGTCGGGTTCATTCACACTCTCTACGCTGCTGATCGAGGAGATCAGACTACGGCTTAACCCGACACTGTATGCCTATATCGTATCGTATCCCATACACACAAAACACGGTAATTACCCGAGCGGGCGGATTGACCACCACGCTCAATTTACCACATCGATTTCGGCCGTTACTGTAGTTATGTACACAGTAAAAAATATATTTGTTAATTTTCCCCAAATATTAACCATATTTTATGTTAATCCAGGTCCAGGTCAATAATTCAACCATAATTCTTGTAATTTTCAAAAAGGATCTTATTTTTACAAATTAGGAATTTTGATGCTTTTTTAATCAATTGCCTAAACAAAAAAATTAACACATACCTATATAAATGAACACAAAAATAATATACACCCAATTAAATAACACACCATTCAGAAAACATCAAATTATAAAGAAATATGGTACAATATAATTATCAGTACTACTACAACACTTACTCATGTATTTCGTAACTTTAACCCACTTCACTGTATCCCCTAATTTCAGTTTGAAAACCAGTTTTTTTGGATACTTCGTATTGTCAGCGGGAAATTTTTTGATTGACTGCCTGAAATCAACGAAATTTTTGTTAAACATTAACAAAATAATCTGTAACCCTTTAAATTAATAAAATATAAAATATTTACCTTTGTAAAAATAACTACAAACCCTGGTTTTCTACAAAAATGTGTTCAAATTTTACAAAATAGAATTAACAAACTACATGTTAACCAATCTAATTTTTATAACAAAATACATTATTTCCATTTCATATTTAATTCTATAACGTAGAATGTCAACAAAAAATTTTGTACGTTTTTTTAAATTACCCGAGATGTCAAGTTCCTTCTAACTATCTTCACTTTATTTCCAGTCATCAAATTTAATGGTTTTAAGTTTAAAGCTCTGACAAATAAATATTTTTTTAATCCAGAAATCTTGAGCAATCACACAGGAAATTGTTAAACAATAAAATTTAATGAATTGGTTATTTACTCAACTCATAATAAAAGGTGTGCTATATGTAGGTTTTATGGTAAGAAGTCCAAATAATTTATTTTTATGCTTGCATAATTTAAACCTGTATCTATAAAATTGATTTAAGAATTTATTGCCTATTATAGGTAATATAATACAATATCCAATATAAATACTCATTCACATAAAATTAATCAAGATAAAAATTTAAAAGTTATGCGTATAATTTTATTATAAATTTTGATACTTCCTCTGTATTACAGTGACGGCTCGTACCCTTAAAATAACTATTTACCTACTAATGTATCAGTTCGCGTCTATTTGTTTCTGCTTGAGTTGCTCTAATTGTTGGTTTTATATCACATGACTGAAGATGTGGTGGGTGGCAGTTTGTGTTGCTGGGTGTTTTTGTTTTGATTCAGATCAAATTATTGAAAATTGTTGTCTGATCTTTTATGGTTTTTGCCTCGATTAGTAAAATTTATTATTTTATTATTGTGGTGCACGGGGGTACATACACGCTACACAGGTAGAATTAGCAGTTTTTATTAAGGAACAAGTCTTATTAAGTTTTAATTAAGGTTTTTAAAATATTTCTGTGTTTTTTTTAAATGAATACTGTTCATGACATTATTCTCACAATAATAAAAACGCCCTTTTTAAGAAGAAACGAAAACAGATATTGGGCAGTCATCCAACGCCAAAATTTTTATCAATATTTAACGATAAGAGGCAAGGTAAGCAATATTCACGAACTCTTCAAATATCTTGGTACGAAACCTCTAAGTGGCTATGCGGAAGTATTTATAAACAAAGCTTATTCTGTTGGCATTGTATTTATTTAGGGGGTGGGTATTTCGATTGCTCTGATATTTTATTTGTTTTGTTTATTTTTTTTATTTATAATAGTTTAGTAGGGCTATCGGCCAAAATTGGTACGCCACTGCTTTTTATGAGTTTAATATTATATTACAGAATTTTTTCTTTATCCTGATTAATTTTGAAGAAAAAAATTAAGTTATTTTATCAGTTCGTATGAGGCGCGGTTTGTGTCAAAATTAAAAGTGCAAAATAAACTTATTTTGCTTTATAAATAATTAATTATATGCATTAGGTATTTACTAAATTATTTTTTTATCAAATTATTTTTTATGCAAATCAAAAATTATTTATGACTAAAAAATTATTTGATAAAAGAAGACATTTTATCAATACATTTTTACTGCAGCTTTTATTTCAAGTTGACATTGTCAACATTTCACACATTTTTTGATTTTAATTGATGAATCGAAAAAAAAATCGGTGTTATTAAAAAATTGATTTTTTTTTAAGTAAATGTAAAAGTCAGATTTGGTTCATTAACTCTTTGAAATAAAACCATGGTTTAGTTCACAAAATTTCTCAGTAAGTTCCTTGTTTTTGAGACGGTGCGTTAATACGTCAACCCTAGACGTAAACCGTCAATCTCAGATAAAAGTCAGTCTTTCTTCTTTCTTCTTCTTCCTCCTTCTCCTTTCTATGGCTTTTTTCCAGTTCCACGCACAGACTTTCTGTAATCGACTTAATCGAAAGACATTTTGAAATTAAACAAAATATTGAGTTATCTGGACGGTTGGTTCTGTGCTGAAGATACCTTCTTTTACCATGGCATGGTTGTTGGCATGAAAGGCATAGAAACTGCAGTCTTTTATCAAATAATTTTTGATTTGCATAGCAAATAGTTTATTAAAAAAAATAATTTTATAAAAAATGAAATTGATAAAAAAAATAATTTGATACAAAATAATGTAATAAAAAAATAATGCATATAATTAATTATTTATATGGCAAAATAAGTTCATCATTTTGCACTTGTTGACACAAACGGCGCCTCAAAAGCTCGTGGCCTTGGTTTTTTTAGGGGCAAGCGAAAACGATTTTTTTTTCTTGAAAATTAAATAAGATAGAAAAAAATGCAGGAGTTAAATATCAAGTTGGGATGCCCCCCCCCAGTAAATAAAATTTAAGATGTCGCGGAATAATAAGGGATTGCGTATGGATATAAAATGGTTGTATAGAAAGGAAAGAAGATGAGGAGGAAGGAACAATATGCGCACAGGCATTGCGAGTACCAACCAAATGGCCAAGGACGAGAGGGTGAACACGACAGTCCTCGGGCTGGAGCGCGGCGATAGAAACGTGGACCGTACCACGTTGGTGAAGTGGATGATTCGGTTAGTCAACGTTTTGGTGGTATGGATTTGCATCGCTATCGTGATTTGGGGAGCGAGTCCTGCTAGTTGTACGTCGAGAGGTCAACGAACCGCGAGTAGTGCCGGTAGCATGGCCTGGCCACCACTTCCCTCCTTACCTGAACGCCGCCGATGCTGCTGCTGCTGCTGCTGAGGAACCAGTACGTACGGGATTACACAACCGCGTCCACCATGGATGACGATCCGAGTCGCCTGTGATCACGTGGCCATGCGTCGTGACGCACGCGAGTGCGCGCCCCGTCAACCACCTGCTCTGACAGTGATTTGTCGTTCCGGATGACTTTACCAGTGCGGCGACCTGTTGAATAGAACATGGACGTTTTCAAGATTGACCAGTCCCTGAACGGGAACCTGGGCAGTGCTCCGTCGCCGGACAAAATAACCCCGGAAGTGTCCTTCGACGCCGGTTCGGAGTTCAACTTGTGCTTCTTCGACACTCCCGAGGACAGCAACACGCAAGGCTTCAGCGACCCCGGGTCCGTGGGCTCCGCCTCGGCCAGTTCTCCTCCGCCACAGCTCGCCCCCTTGCACATACCCCTCGCCAGCACTAGCACCCCTGCAGTGACCAGCCCCGTTTTGTTATCGCCCCCTCAAGGGGCCACTACCACCGCCATTACCGTCAAGCAAGGTATTCAACATTTTTTCTTTTACCATTGTCTCACCCCAATGCGCATATTAATGAGCACACTATAAAAACTACCCCCTACAGACAATGCCTACACATGTGTCTGAACACCTGACTACTACGGATTAAATCACCACCTGTTACACCCCCCTATTAAACAGCAAAAAAATGTTTGCCAGATTTTATGTTAATCCAGGTATAATAAGTTTACAACCAACTGTAATCTGTTAATTGAATAAGTGGTTTGTATGTACAAACATTTTGTAGATTTAATTACAAAATCTTATAATATTCAACCATAATTCTTGTAATTTTTTAAAATGGCCTTATTTTTACAAACCTTGAAAAAAGTATTTGTTGGAAATTGAGAACTTACATGAAAAGAATTTTGATAATAAATGTTGCTTTATTAATCAATTTCTTAAAGAAAAAAATTAACACTTCCCTACATAAATGAACACAAAAATAACATACGCACAATTAAATAACACACCATTCTGAAATCATCAAATTATAAAGAAATTTGGTACTGTACTACAACACTTATTGATGTATTTCGTAACTTTATCCCACTTCACTGTACTTATCCAATAATTTCAGTGTGAAAACCATAACTCTCGTTATATAAGTATAAAGAATACAAATAACAATAATAACAGATTTCTGGTAATATATTATAAACACTGGACAGTTGTAACGAACACGTTACGAATTAGAATAATGTAATCAAAAACACTGAAGTCAGTTGAACTTGTCGATGTGTATTGTCAGTGGGAAATGTTTTGATTGACTGCCTTGAAATCACGTGTTCTTTTTCATAAAAATAATTTGTGAAACATTAAAAAAAAATTGTAACCTTTGAAATTAACAAAATGCTTACAAAATTGCAAACCTTGGTTTTCCATAAAAAATTATGTTATAATATTACAAAATAAAATTAACAAACTACAAACTCATGTAAACAAAACTAATATTCATAACAGTACTGGCTTACTTTTTTTTGATATATCAAAAACTAAGTAAATCAGGACCAAACCCCGTTTACGATTGGTTAAAACAAAAAAACTTTTTGGTAAAAGCAAAAAAGTTTTTAAATAAATAAATATTTTTTTCATTTCTACCTTCAAAACGCCCATTATTGTACATGTTTTATGACACTAAATGATTTTTTAAATACACATTGACAAGCTGAAGTTAGTTGACAGTTGGTTAAATGTGAAATGGAAAATAATACTAAATGTGAAAATAATTGTATTATCCTAAAACAAAAATACAAAAGTATTAAATAGTTTCTCAACCCCAATATTTAAGAATTTTTATAAACACTGAACTGACCTTTTAATTTTGCCGGCAGTAAACTAGACTTAACTTAATTTCACCGTGGTATGCCAATAAAACATTTTCTTTACTTTCACTGCAAAAAACTGCTTCTAAATCGGATTAAACGGTCTATTTTCAAGGGATCCACTTCAAATTGCACATACAAATTTGAAATTTGACAATAGAGATTTCCAAGTTGGTTACTCTATTGTTTTAAAGATGTCGCTCTTTACAAATGTTTAACTAAAAACATTTTTGGATAATACTAAGTATTTGTCGTAGAAAAAGTATTGTATGCAACTCATTTCTAGACACTTAATTAATTAAGCAAATAAAACAGTAAAAATTACTATGACAATAATTATAAACAATTATAAAAACTAAGCAATTTATTCTTTAATGAAGTTTATAAAAATACAATAAAAAACTACAATAAATCATCTTTTGTGTTTCACTTTTATTATCTTCAATCTTAAAAATGAAATTCGCGAGAAGAAATGATTTTCTAATTACAATCATATGTTAATTAAAAAAACATCAAAATCTTAATTAGCATTCAGGTAGTTTCCGGTGTTGTTTATTTTATATTTGTTGTGAAACATAAAGGAAATAATTACATAAAATGTATAGCATAATAAAATTAAGAAAACTAAAATTCCTCTAAGTACCACACGTAATTAAATATTTTCACTATTTCCTACTTAATTAGTACCTACTTATTTACAATAATTAATATCGTTTATTTCTTATAATAGATCATGATTATCGGGAACTTATACGTAATCTAATACTTTCCTCAGATTAGATCATATGAACCTTTTCAAATTTACATAATAAACCTTTTTTTATTTCCCATTTCTGGAAAAGGCTACGTTTCGTGTTCGAAAGCGAAATGCCCATAAAAAATTAATCAAACCCAAACATGCTTTAAATTGTATGTTTTTATTTAAGTAAATCGGAACTATTATTATTTTATAGTACACAAGATATTATAACTTTTTTTTTATTGATGTTAGAAAAAGTCTAGATAAAAAAGATATAAAACACAAATGATCCATTATGTTTTACAGTCGGTTTTATGTAAATTTATTTGGATGTTACTTTTTTTTATGGTAATTAATCTCCAGTCAGATTATATTTAATGAGTATGTTAATGTTAACTTTATTAATTAGGTTTGATTAAGAAACAGTATCTTTAAAGATGTGGATTATAAAAAGAAATACTAAATGTAGAAATTATTTTATTATCTTAATACAAAAAATCCATTATTATATTATAGTTTTTGCCGTCAGTGCCCAGAAAAATATTTAAAATAATTAAAATTGTATTTAAACAAAAACTTTAAAAGCTTAAGCTTAAACAATTGTTTGACCAGCAGTTTTAAGACAAAAAAGCCTATAAAACCAAATTCCATCTTCAATTAATTATATAGCCAGACAGAACTTTTGGTAACTACAGCAAGAACCATCATACATATGTAATTTATTTAATAACGCCATAGAAGGTTGCTAACAGTTTCTGTTCTTTCGTGTAGTTTTTTTATTTTTTTTTATTAACTCGCGAATCCCCTTAAGGTGTTCTAAAGTCTTTGGCATCGGCAGTCCGTTATATTCCGAGAAATTAACATTCGATTACATACACACATACATAAAAGTTTTTAATAAATATAACAAAAAAAGTAGTTTGTCTTAATAAAGTAAATATCCCTATTTGTCCAACAATTGCTTTTGTTACGGCAAAAAGATCATTTTTATGAAAATTATTTATCTACAAACGCTGCTTTCAGTAATAGCATTTGCATTAATTATAAAGTAAATTTACGTTACCTATGTTTATAAAAATAACACTCTTCCAGATGCAGAAACGCATTGATAAATATAGTTATTATTATTTGTCAAAAAAAACCAGTTCTATACCGTTTACAAAAACGTTTTGTACTATTAATGAAACCCTAATGGTATTATTCATAGAAATCTTGTAAATTTTACAAATCCCTTTTCGTTTAAAATAAAACATTTTTTATAATATTAATAAAATTTATGTAAATTTAACAACCAATTAATTGTTAATTCAATAAACTATTTTCATTGTAACAATGGTCACATTTTCAACCTACTGTTGGGTATTGGGTAGTTTTTTTTTAATAATTGCAAGGCATTAAAACAAATTATTTATTATAACAAAAAAATTAACTATTATGTGTTGTTCAAAATAAAACAAAATTTGTTTTATTTTGAACATATAATATGAGTAAATTTTTATTTAATATGAACTCACTTTTTGATATTTTTATCATGCTAAATTTTACCAAACTTCACTCGCACAAGTGAAATCAATAAGATTATAACTATAAAATTATGTTCACCAAGGAGAGCGCTGGCCCTTTTCCCCTCTTTTTAAGGGAAATAACAAACATTTTTTTTACCATTGCAAAACAATAGTAAATATTAAAAAAGTCTTTTTTTATCAATAAAATATTTTTGTTATTGTTCTTAACGTAAGCTATTAACAAAGATTTTCTAACTGAAATAAAATTACTACAAATTTTACTGTAACAACTGCGCATTACTTTATGTAAGCGCAATTCACACACAACTATAGATTTAACAAAAACATTTTAAGTTTGACAAAGATTTAATATAAACATAAAGTATTTCTTATTGCCATGACAATATGATAACAACTATTACTTTGTTGGATGAACATTTTTTTAATAAAAGCTCAACATTGCTGCTTCATTATATTAAATGAGAATTTTATTAACAGTTAAAAAAGTTTATTCTGAAAATAAAAATAATCTCAGGTTCTTGTCCCAATAAGACACTAAAAATTTAATAAAAAAGTTACCTTATAAGCAAAAAGTGAAAAATGCAGTTTAATATAATATTTAAGGTTATAATAAATCACAAGGTATTTTTCTGACATCTGAAAGTACTAATTTTTCTTGTTAAAATTTGTTCTCTTCGAAAAATCAGAAATGCTATTATGCCCACTAGTGAAAGAAGTAAAATTTCGCCCACCGAAAAAATAAATAAAGTGCACCCATGGGTGTTGAATAAAAAACGTTAGTTATGTTAGTTATTTCTCCCAGTGTAGTTGTTTGATTTGATTAATAATCGTGAAGATTTTTTCTATTGAACGTAAAGCTAGCTAGGTAAGATGTAGCGAGCATTCAAGTTTCCAATCTATCTCCTTCAAGAGCGCGCGAGGTGGTTCACTGACCGTACATCCAGAGACCATTTCCAATGGGTTTTATTTAAACTCGTGTTTGTTTTGTGTAAATAAATAGACTTTACATGCAATATTTTGGTTAATTAATTTTTAACACATTATTTCATAAAAAAGTAGTTTTGTTAATACTAATAGGATACTATGTATCAATTTTTATAAATGCCATTTTAGTAGCTTGCGAGCGGGTGCTTAATAAAATGAGTGCCTAGAAAAGTTTGTAAACTAAAAAATTAATTAATATTTGTATAAAGCGACATCTATACAAAAATAAAGTAACCATCCCAATAAACATTTTTGACGTAATTTTCACCATTAACATTGCCAGTTATAATTTTAATTCATCCTAACAATTTTTGATACTTTTAAATATTAAAATAACTTGATTTTTTTTATTATTATAATTGCATAATACACCAAGTAATAAAAATTCTTACACAGGAAATGTTAAAGGTACAAAATCTAGTTTATCTTCTGCTTATTATTAATTAAAAAATTAATTAGTTAATTCCAATTAAATAATAAAATAAAATTATTGTAATTAAGGTAAACAAAAAAAAGGAAAAAAACATACCCAAATCAAGGCATCAAAATATTCAGCAACAAAACGTTTGGTATCTAACATATTGTAATAATTATTACTAATAATAATAATAATAATTATTATTATCAGTTACCTGATTAAAATTCCATATAGTTTATTCTATTCGTATACGCATATATGGGTATGTACGATGATGATAATTATGATGAACGCCAGTGACTGCCACAACCATGCATACTATGATTTGGGTAAACATATACAAAAAACGTGAAAAAATCCCACCAATTAACTTGCATTCGACAGTCAATAGAAATAAGAAATCAAAATAATCAACATATTCTGTATAGCACCTTTTCCTAACCTTTAAGTGTATACACTATAGCTGAAGAAGGTGCTTTGAAAACAAATGATCATCTGTCCCGATTTTGACTGATGGCGCGCTCTCATTTAAATTTATCATCTCGACCCAACTTGACATTGACTCGATATTGACAGGAAAAGCAATTAGTCAAAACGTATTCATATGTATATATCTATACATTCCATACTATAAAATGATTTATTGAAATTTTCAGATTTAAGATTTATTGAAAACAAAGTTATTTTTGATTAACTATAGTTTTTTAACTATAAATACAGTTGTAGCTATATATTTATTATAGGCATTTTTGATCAGTGGCGGCTGGTGGATTTTAAGTATACCAATATCTCAGTTATTAGACATGGGACCCACACCAAATTTATAATAGTTTATATTGACATTAAATAAACAAGTTCGGCCCAAACAGAATTTAAATTGAAGTTTGCGAAAAAAAGTTAGTTTTTCCTGTCGCCTACCCTGACTCCAGGCTTCCCTATTTGAGATAATTCAAATTAAAGTGGTGCAATTTATTATCTACTATAATTTATCGACAAATTTAAAATTTTATTTAAAAAATCCAAATATTACAGTTTTTATACCATTTTAAATATTTTTTTATTTTAATAAAATAAATAATAAAAATTTAAAATCGAATAAAATCTGTAATATTTGGATTTTTTGAATAAAATTTTAAATTTGTCGATAAATTATAGTAGATAATAAATTGCACCACTTTAATTTGAATTATCTCAAATAGGGGGGCCTGGAGGCAGGGTAGGCGACAGGAAAAACTAACTTTTTTTCGCAAACTTCAATTTAAATTCTGTTTGCGCCGAACTTGTTTATTTAATGTCAATATAAACTATTATAAATTTGGTGTGGGTCCCATGTCTAATAACTGAGATATTGGTATACTTAAAATCCACCAGCCGCCACTGTTTTTGATACATGTTTATTAAACAAAGAAGTGTTTTTTTGTAGTCAGATTGCACTGTTTAACTTTGCCCCTAATTTTTGGACCCCCTGTATATACATAAAACATGTATCTTCAATTTGAGGCGTTATTAATAAAAAATGCAAAGCCGTATCAAAACGAAAATATTTCGTAATAAGCTGAAGTATGCTGCCAAACTTGTTTCGACACAACCGATTCGTTTAAGTCGCTGGAAGTTTTATTAATTCATACATTTACAAATTAACACAAACGTTGCGTCATGATCAACAAAAATACACTTACAAACAATTGGTTTTAAAGGAGAAAACTAAAATATGGATCTATGAGGAATGATACAAAGTTTTATAACATTTTAAAAGTTTTTAAATTCCCGCACAGATGTTTTTCCTTAAAACAAAAACTTTTCCATCATCGTAAACCCTCGTCGAATGTTTGAGCGAACATTGCTAACGGATAAAAATGGGCTGCGTGGTGTCCTTGGTCGGAATCAATATAAATTTACGACCTTGGGTTGTTTTAACTAACCCCGTAGCATATAAACCAGAATACCGAAGGTTTTATTGATCTTGCACGTATTATTAAACTGGCTGCTGCTGCATGAGACTGATGCCGGCTCAATTCAATGTCAAGATCGACGAATACATTGAACGCATTTAAATACCAGTGTTTATGACCGCTTTTTATCCTGACGTCATATGTTAAGTAACTTTTTCTACTCAGATCATTATCGTAGATGTTTCCATGGCACTAAGTGGCCTTTTGTATACACATTGACAAGTTGTGGCTTTATGGCGCTTTAGTCACGGGCTAAAGTTAGCAACAGGTTTTTAGTCACGGGCTGAAGTTAGTTTTAAATTAGTTGACAGTTGTCAAATGTCATACAATCGTTAAAATAAAGTGCCTTTCTTGTAAAATAATACTAAATGTGAAAATTATTTTAGCATCTCAATACAAAAATACAAAAGTATTTAAAATTTTGCGTACAGTGCCCATAAAACATTCTCTTCTCTTTCACTGTGAAAAACTGCTTCTATATCGATTGTTAGCCTATTTTTAAGGGATAAATTCCAATAAACACAACTGTCACTTTTTGCACCTTTAACATTTCCCGTGTAGGAATTTTTAATACTTTTGATAATATTTTGAAATTATAGTAAGTAAAAAATATTTTCTTAACATAATCATATTTTAATATTTTATAATTATCATTAATTGTTAAGCTTGATTAAAATGTTAATGGTGAAAATTACGTCAAAAATCTTTATTAGGATGGTTACTTTATTTTCGTACAGGTGTCGATTTATACAAATATTTAATTTAAATAATTTTTTCTACTCCCACCTTTAAAACGCCCTTCATCGTACATGTTTCCATGACACTAAGTGACCTTTTAAATACACATTGACAAGTTGTTCCTTTTCGGCGCTTTAGGCACGGGCTGAAGTTAGCAACAGGTTTTTAGTCACGGGCTGAAGTTAGTTTTAAGTTAGTTGACAGTTGTCAAATGCCATTCAATCGTTAAAATAAAGTGCCTTTCTTGTAAAATAATACTAAATGTGAAAATTACGGACTCTACTGTAAAGTCCTCATAAAACATTTCCTTTACTTTCAATGTGAAAAACTGTCAATTTTCAAGATAAATTTCGATTTATAACCTTTATAATTGTGTTTATAAAATGTAAAAATGTGACATTTGACAGTTGTTTCATAGATGGCGCTCTATACAAATTTTTGATTTAAATCATTTTAAGATAGTATTTGTCGTATTTGTCGTAGAAAAAGTATAGTATGCACCTCGTTTATAAACTTTTCTATACACTCATTAACTTAAGCACTCGCTCGCAAGCTCGCTCGTGCCTAAATTAAATTCGTGTATAAAATGGCGTTTATCAAACTTGATACATAATATACTATTTTCTATGGAAAACACAAATGTTTATTTATTTTATTAATATATTTCTAGTTATATTTAGTATACATTTGATTAAAATAGGTAGGTAGTTTTTATGGACATACCTCCACACTGTTCAAAATTTTAGCTAATTTTTACCTAAAATATTAGACTATATAGGACCATTGATTTTTTAAGGCAAACTGCTTAAAATGAATTCAGAGGAATATTCCCCTTTTAAATTAGTGAACTCTTTAACTGATATTTTTAAAGAAAATTACTTAGGTTTCAAAGATGATGCACCTTAGATCGTAAGGTATATTGCCTGAGAATAAAAGAATAAATTTCCTGTTTCTAAGGCAATTTGCTTAAATTTTTCAGGCAAATTATATATATTTTTAGTGAAAATCCTCTTATTTTTAACGGTAAATTTATCTAATTTTTTAGTGAAATTCTACTAACTTTCTAGTAAAATTCTATTAATTTTCTAGTGAAATTTAAGGGGAACAATAATTGGCGGTGGGGGCATTTAGAAGAGAAGATATTTATAATGTCATTATTCTCACGCATTGCTTTGGTAAAATACTATATTGGAAATATACTATTGTAAATGTTATATTTTATTGTAAAAAGTTACCGATAACCTAGTAGTGTTTATCCCTATATCGAGCAATGTAAATGAGAAAAGAATGACATTATAAATCACCCTTTTAAGTGTTGATGGGTTAAATAAAAAATACATTTATTTTAGTTAAATTGAAAATGTATATTAATAAATATGTATAAATTAAAAAAATAAAAGTAACAAAAACGAATTAGGTTAATTTAATAATACCTACCTAATTTTTTATTTTAATAATACTTAGGTATAAGCATACCTACTTTATAAGTTTAATAAAGTTTCTTTTTGGCATAGGAATTTTCTTCCAAGTTAGGACTCCTTTATCTTTAGGTCCTAGGCGAATTAACAACGGCGGTTCCGGTACTACAGAGTTGGGGTTATTTAAAAATAAATTGGGGTCAATGGGAAATTCCATTTAGTTTGGATTACTTAGCACTACAAAATGTTCACTTATAGCACAATAATTGTTAACTACGTAATTATATTAATAGCACACAACGCGGTCTTTACGTTTTCGTTGATTTTGGCATTATGGTGGACAACATAGGCGCGAATATTTATCGTAAAACGTCGGTATTAGCGATCGTATACGATCGGCTATAGCCGATTGCAAGTAAGTCACTAATATTTAAAGGAATTTACCTAAATTAGTTCAATAATTTGCCTTAATAATTTAGAAGAATTACCTAAATTAAAAACAAAATTGTCGTACCTAAAAGTAATTGAGATTTTGACTAAATATTTTGGTAATCTGCCTATCTTTTTAAATTTGACAAGTTTATTAAGTAAAGTATGAATATTTATCTACAAGTTAGTCAATACACCATAGAACAAAGGCATTAGTTTCTGCCTAATAAAGGAGAAGGTAAATTGCTTTACTCGTTTAAGCATATTACCTTATTTTTCCTTAACTAATTCTGATTAGGTATTTCAAAAGGCTTGATTTTGAACAGTGCACCGTCTATAATTAGTGGTATTAAAGGAAAAAAATTACATGGCATAGGCACATAGGAATAGTATGCGGTTAAAGAGTATTCCAAGTAAATACCTCGAGATGTTAATCTGCCCGCCTCGCCGTGTTTTCATCTATGATGATGGCAGTTTAAGTTATACAGGAACTGGTTTTTAACATCTTAGCCCGAAGCTGTTGTATCGATTCCGAGCGGTACAATGAACCTCTTCCCCAAAAACAGCTCCGCTCGGGGAGGAGATGAGAAGCAATCCGAACGAAAGAAGAAACAAAAAGATGGGCGAGAAAAAGAAGATGAAGCACGCATTAGCATAGCGTTGAGTAATTTAATTTACGAATGATTTTCACAATTTTGGGCAAAAAATAAAAATATCGAGAGAATGATTTACGTAAAAAGGAATTCGTCTAAATTCACTCAATGGTAAAAAAACAAAAACGGGTATTATATAATATATATAATAATATATAATATTATGTTGCCATGAATTCGTAGAGATATTTTGTCGTTCACTGTTTAAAAATGCAGTTTTCGGCGTGTTTTTAGAGCACTCAAATATAAAAATGTTCGATTTTAAGGTTATGTTTTTAAAACTATTATTTTTTGTTATATTTTTTAAAAATATCCAAACTTAAATATAAATGATATTAGGTAAAGTTATCATTAGTTAATTCTGCAACAAAATATATGTACCAAACTGGACCCTTTGTCAAACCATGAAAATGCAACGATTTAGTTCTTGTATTACATTTACAATTAAAAACACAATAATTCACCATGATCACTTAGATAAGTTATATATATTTCTATTTCTAAAAATTTCTACAAAATTACTTATTTTGTTTTTGAAAAAGTGTAAATAATCAAATTTACAAACAAAAAACTAAATATTACAAATTTATCAAACATGACAATATTAAGTTAAATTTTCTTCAAGTCTTTATTGTTTACTTAAAAATGAAAAATTTCACTGACATTCAAATTTTCTTTCCAAATAATCCCTACAAGTCGTCTCGCAATAAATGAGTTCCTTTATCTATCTCTCTAAAAATGAATTGATCAAAAATGACTAATTTAATAGTTATAAGTGGATGCCTTTTCACTTGTACCATGGTTAACCATGGAATACCATGGCATCCCAAAATTTAACAGCCAATTCTTATGTAAAATTGTCCCCTGAATCCGAAAATAATGTCAAAAATTATGAAAGTGAAGCAGTTTTTGAGATATAGTCAATTCCATATTTCGCCTTATTTTCTAAAAGTAATACAATTTATGTACATTTTGTATTATAAATTAAAACCTTTATACACACGAAATCCATTTATACAATAAATAATAATAATAATAATAATATTTAAAAAATACGAAATTAGCGTTAAACTAAATTATTTGTATTAAAATGCCAAAGTGTGACTTTTGGCTGTGGAGCATAAAATAATATTATTAAAATAATAATGTAGATATAGAAAGCAGTTTTAAACAGTGAAAGAGAAAAAGAGAAAAATTGTTAATGCTTAATCGGCAAATACTAGTTTACTAATGGCAAAATTAAACGTGCCTGAAAGCCACAGCTGCCAACTTCAGCCCGTGACTAAAATGCTATAAAGTCATTGCTTGTCAATCTGTATTTAAAAGTGAAAACATGAAGCTAAAAAGATGAAAAAGCCAAAAAAGTTATCAATAAAGGCTAAAATTAATAATTAAATTTGGCTTAAATAAAAAATATATATTTTTGACAAAAACTAAAATTAAAATTTTATATTAATAATTAAAAAAAAATCATGGTTAATAAAAATGTCCTTGGTACCATGTGGAATGCACCTACACTATTAAATATCATCAAGGACAATAAACGGAGATTCACGTTTCGGTAATCGAATCGAACGGACTGAGAATTTACGAGGCGACGTTGCCGCGCTTCTCCCGCCGGACCATCATTAAAAAATTAAAGTATTGATATGTAGCGTATACTACACATGGACAATAAAGGTGTAGCGACCGAATGGCAGTGGCGGCTCGTGGGTGTGTTTTTCAACTTTAAAATATATATCTGATAATTAAAAATATATTTACCCACCCCCTGAACTGCAATTGTTTTTGACGCGGCCCAATAAAATACAATGCCAAAAGAATAAACTTTGTTTAAAAATACTTCTGCATAGCCACTGGACGACTGCCCAATATCTGTCTTTTTTCAGTTTCATTTCTTCTTAAAAAATGCGTTTCAATTATTGAAAGAATAATGTCATGTCATGTCATTAACTCAATCTGGTGTAGATCTTTTCTGTTACATAATTGAGTGATTTTTGAGTGAAATTTCACACATTTTATTTACAGTGTATATGTACCGCTTTTTACAGTGTATACTCTCTAAAAATGAATTAGTCAAAAATAACTAATTTAATAGTTAATAGTAGCTGCTTTTTCACTTGTGTCATGGTTAACCATCAAATACCATGGTATCCCAAAATTTAATAGCCAATTCTTATGTAAAATTTTACCCTGAATCCGAAAATGTCTTCAAAAGTTAAAAAAGTAGGACAGTTTTTGAGATATAGTAAATTTTCCATTTAATATGGAATTGACTATATCTTAAAAACTGCTCCACTTTCATAACTTTTGACGGTATTTTTAGATTCGGAGTACAATTTTACATATGAATTGGCTATTAAATTTTGGGATACGATGGTATTCGATGGTTAACCATGGCACAAGTGAAAAAGCAGCCACTATTAACTATTAAATTAATTTTTGACTAATTCATTTTTAGAGAGTAAGTATCGCTCTTTGCACACAATAAAAAATGTCAAAAAATTTGTCAAAATTGGTTGTATTAAAATATAAAATTTAGCAAATTAAAGGAGTTTTTGAAAAGGAGATATGAATATGGAAATTTGAAATGAAATAAATGAAAAAAATATTGGAAATGAATGGAAAGTTAAAAAGCAAGTATTAGATGAACTTCTAAATATCTATATATTATTGCCTAGACAATCTATTTAAATTGGAAAATATATAAATGTATTAAATAAATAAATAAATAAATAATAATATATTTATGCTTATAGAATGATTTTTTGCTTTTTATTGTGTAGTAAACGTACACTTGTAATAGGTAAATAATTCATTTTGAGGGTGAAGCCTCAGAGCCTACCCTGACGAGCCGACACTGCCGAATGGTCTGTCTACTAAGCGCGTACGGGGAAAGCAACACAAATCCAAAATTATTTAATACGCGTGGGACCGTAACTACTGCAATAAAAACTCTGAAAACTGGTTTCAATAAGTCCGTCGTATTTTCTTTTCTGGTTGCTTTATTTACGAGGAAGTAACGACCGGCAATCAAAATGTTTTTTATTGTTTATTACTGTTGCAATAGATAAAATTTCAACTAGTTGAATTGAAATATAAATGCCTAGTTATTTTGGATTGCGCTTTCTAAAGTTGCTTTTAATAAGAAAATTTTGATAAAATCAAGAGTTTTGTTTTATATCCAGTTTGCTTTTGTTATCTTGAATCTTATAAACAATTATGTTGTCCACGTATCTAAGCAAGCTTTCATATATAATTTTTCTTTTAAATTAAGTTTTTTTTTGGTTTATTGACACGTAACGACTAGTAAGGACCGCGCTGTCCACCCGCTAGTCGTTTGGTAGAACCATTGAGTAAAGTCTTTACTCAATGGTAGAACTGCCTGTAAACCTACGACTTTTTGACCTTCCCCTCGCACAAAATACCAACTCAAAATATGTCTATTCATTCCTTATATTTACTCCTTATTGTTTTTTCGAATATTCAATTTGAAATGGACAATAGTAACGCCCACTCTTGTGGTCGTAATGCACCGATTTATCCACGAACAATGGTTCCGATTCTGTTCGAGATCCATTCGAAAAAAAAACACACTAAGAAACACTGTTTAGCCCGTTGTATCTCTCTATTGTCTCTTTTGATGCCCTGGGGGCGAAATACTTAGTTTTTAATGACATTCTTTAACGAGGCGTTTAACGAGCGCGGTATCGGATCGATGCTGATTTAGTTGTGTTTTTTTTAGCCAAGTTGGTATCGATTTCCTAAAAATAGATGTTTTTTATGATCAGTGGCGTCAAAATGAAGGAAAAACGACGTATTTAGCTTTTAACCTATTACAAGTGTACTTTTACTACAGTAACCTACTGTGCTTGTACATTTTATTGTTGTGCGGTTGTGCCTTTATTAATCTAAAAATAATTTTTGTAAGATAGGTAAAAATGAGCAGTACCTACCTCCTGGGTAATGTGGAAACCTGCTGAAGGAATAAATAAAAATTCCACCTCATCCCGCACTTTTTGTATTATTCTTGCTAAATTTTAAAAATTCTTCTCGTATAAAAGAACATATTTTTAAATAATAAATGTTTTTATTTAGATTCTGAAGTGCTCCAAAAACGCGAGACCTTGAATATTTAAAAAAACGCGGATTGAGCGTGGATTTTAATTTATCATTTACGCTTAATATGATTGATTGATTTTTTACTTTTATTGTGTAGAACTGTTCTATATAATTTACAAAATTTCTATGAATAATATACCATTAGGGTTTCATTAATACTACAAAACGTTTTTGTAAACGATATAGAACTATATTTATGAATGCCTTTCTGCATCTGGAAGAGTGTTATTTTTATAAACATAACGTAAATTTACTTTATAATTAATGCAAATGCTATTACTGAAAGCAGCGTTTGTAGATAAATAATTTTTATAAAAATGATCTTTTTGCCGTAACAAAAGCAATTGTTGGAAATGAAACACCCCAGCATACAACCACGAGCCGCCACTGTTTATGATATATCTTACACATTTTGGCAAGAAAGATTACATAAATTCCTTGCCAATGTAACCATATTTCAATAGACGACGGAAACAGGATAGATAAAATAAGGATAACACATCTCCAGCTCAGGATAGTTTCCTAGGCAACGGTACCAGAAATCCATTTCGCGGAAACGACAGGAGATATCGATGTACAGTCCCGGAAACAAGTTATATATTGGATAATACACCTAATAAGGTTTGTTGTAATTCCAAGCTTTAATTAAGACACTAATAAAAAAATAAAGGAAAATTAGTGCATTGTTTTTTCTTTATTTTGCATGCAAAATTCGTTTTCGTAACTGTACGAACGTCGCGACGTGTAATATCAACCGTAAAAATTCCAAACTATAAAATATTTAGTTGTGGTTGAGTTTATGAGCTTTTCACGACCTTCGATAGAGGATAGCAGACGTACCGTATCATTTTATGTTGGAGAAAATTTTATACGTCTTAAAAATGTCCAAATTTCTCTCTTAAAATGAAATACTTAGTCAAAATTAAAGTTATAGTTGAAGTTTAAATAAAACAATACTTACTTTTTATCGTTAGGTATCTCGAGGTTTCCGTGATTTTCCCGTTGTTACAATGAAAATAGTTTATTGAATTAACAATTAATTTGTTGTTAATTTTACATAAACTTTATTAATATTATAAGAAAAGTTTTATTTTAAACGAAAAGGGATTTGTAAAATTTACAAAATTTCTATGAATAATACCATTAGGGTTTCATTAATACTACAAAACATTTTTGTAAACGGTATAGATGTTTTTTTGGAAAAATAATAATAACTATATTTATCAATGCGTTTCTGCATCTGGAAGAGTGTTATTTTTATAAACATAACGTAAATTTACTTTATAATTAATGCAAATGCTATTAGTGAAAGCAGAGTTTGTAGATAAATAATTTTTATAAAAATGATCTTTTTGCCGTAACAAAAGCAATTGTTGGAAATGAAACACCCCAGCATACAACCACGAGCCTATAGGCATATATGACAATTAGTCCAATATGACTTAATTTTTGTTTTTTGACTAATTCATTTTAAGAAAGTTACTAGCGAATATAATATATTCGATATTATAATATATAAGATATTATCTTAATAGCACTTTAGTTCTTATAAAATTACAAATCATGGTAGGACCTATTACAACATTGTCCATGTGTGGAGTAGTTTTTAGGTGCAATAAATTATAATTTCTAAAAACCAAACAAATAACCATAAGTCTTATTAGAAAGGACATACTTTAAACCTATAATTAGAATTAACATATTATCTATCTGAGAAACAGGCAAATAATATCGAACCTACCTATAGGGAAGTTAAATCGAGCGAGACCAGAAAAACGTTGGCTGTGGCGTAACTTTGCATTCTTCTGGAGCGCGCGGCGAATATTGAACAGTTCATTCCTGAAACAAAACGTTCAAAATTAGAATACGATATATTTGTTACACAATCCATTATTATTATTATTATCATTATAATAGCATTGGTGGTTGCGCAATATGGCATTTACGTTTGAGTCCGTTAATTTCATTGCATTTAGGTGAAAGCTCGTATCTTTTTATGCCATATAGGTCTCTACTTTTCTGAACAGTAGTTACCTTATCGCGATTCTAAATCAATTTGTTGAATAGTATTCTTCCTGGTTCTGATATGTATGTACTTTCCACATAGTAATAAATATTTGTTAATTTTAACAAAATATTAAACAGATTTTATGTTAATCCAGGTAACCAACATTTTGAAGATTTAATAACAAAATCCTATGTCAATAATTTAACCATAATTATTGTAATTTTCAAAAAGGCCTTATTTTTACAAATATTTTTGTAGACCCAGTAACAAAGTATTTGTTGTAAATGAAAAGAATTTTGTTTTATTAATCAATTTCTTAAACAAAAAAAACGAACACATACCTACATAAATGAACACAAAAATAACATAAAACACACTATTCTGAAATCATCAAATTGTAAAGAAATTTGGGGAACAATTTTAAATAAGAATTGGCTGTTAAATTTTGGGATACCGTGGTATTCCATGGTTAAACATGGTAAAAGTGAAAAAGCAGCCACTAATAACTATTAAATTAGTCATTTTTGACTAATTCATTTTTATAAAGGAATTATCAGTACTACTACACTTACTTATGTATTTCGTTAACCCACTTTAATTTCAGTTTAAAAACCATTTATGGCATCTTTTTTCGGATACTTAGCATTTCGCACACTCGTTAAATAGGTATTAGGAATCCAAATAACAATAATAACGGATTTCTGGTTATATATTCTCTAAAATGAATTAGTCAAAAATGACTAATTTAATAGTTATTAGTGACTGCTTTTTCACTTGTACCATGGTTAAGCATGGAATACCATGGTATCCCAGAATTTAGCAGTCAATTCTTATGTAAAATTGTCCCCTGAATCCGAAATTACCGTAAAAAATTATGAAAGTGAGATATAGTCAATTCCATATTAAATGGAAAATTGACTATATCTCAAAAACTGAAGGTACTATTTTTTAACTTTTGACGGTATTTTTGGATTCAGGTGACAATTTTTAAATTTTGGGCTACCATGGTATTCCATGGTTAACCATGGTAGAAGTGAAAAAAGCAGCCACTAATAACTATTAAATTAGTTATTTTTGACTAATTCATTTTTAGATTATGTAAAATTTTATAAAATAAATTTGATTTTTATAACAGTGCGCGTCTTACTTTTGGTCTGTAACATAATAAACATCCTTATTACTTTTTCATCTATCTGGCATCAAAACCTCCTATTGTTCTGCAAAAGTATCTGAGAAAACACATTACTTTTAACGATCGCGAAATAGAAATGGCAAAAGCATATAAATTTATCCCATCCGGCGGCCGCCTCTTTTTCATAGGTACCATTATATTACCACTATATACCCGAGTTCTTTTTCAATTCCGCCATGCTACGATATTACCACTTCTGCGGCTCGTGCAGATACTGTAGCGAGGCCAATGATGGGCATAAATTTTCTACGTGCAAGACCGTCTCTCTCACGGGAAGGTGGGATCAGGAGAGCTGGGATGAATACAAGGAGGAGTCAAAAAGTTGTCTAAAAAATCAAGTCATGTTTTAAATAGCTAATTCTGAACTTTCCCCTTTGATCATTAATCAATAAAGAGTTTAAAATTTATATATATACATATAAATGAATTAGCATTTCTTTTATATTTTTACGCAATCGCGTATCATGGAACTGCATTGCATTATTTTGGTTGTGTTTCTTCTTATACCAGAAACCACTGTACTTTTTCTCAATAATCTGCTCTTTTATCCTCCTTAACCTTTAACATAATTCTATAAACTTTTTTTTAAAGATTACACAGTCAAACATTTTTGTTAGTTTTAACCAAATATTAACCAGATTATATGTTAATCCAGGTCCAAATAACTTTATGTTAAGTTTACAACCAACTGTAATCTACCCAAGTAACATTTTTAGTTTTATTATGGTCTTCAAGAACACTTTAAAACTAAAAATGTTACTTGGGCTGTTAACTAATTGAATAAGTACCTAGTTTGTAATTATAACAAACATTTTGTAGATTTAATAATAAAATCTTATATGAATATTTCAACGATAATTCTTGTAATTTTCAAAAACCCAGTAACAAAAGTATTTGTTGGAAATTGGGAACTTAAATAAAAAGAATTTTAATAAAAATATTGCCTTATTAATAAATAATAAAGTAAGCAGAAACATAAGTTGCAGATGCTAAAGTCATTTAAACTTTTTAATGCGTATTGTCTTTGGGAAATGTTTTGATTGACTGCCTGAAATCACGTGTACTTTTTCTTAAAAATAATTTGTTAATTTTGAAATTTACAAAACTTTTGGTAAAATATTTATTTCGGTAATATAATTACAAACCCAGGTTTGCTACAAAAAATGATGTTAAAATTAAAACCGAAATTACAATTTTTTTCCACTGAATTCATTATGCCATCCAAAATAACTACACATTTTATACCTATTTCTTATTATTTTTAACTGAAATGAATCAAATTTTTAAATTTTATTATCAAGAACATGCTTTTTTGTCATATTGGGGTTGTCGTATGCAACAACACATTCCTGGTTTCATGATTTTTCATGAAATCTCAAGTTTTTTCAATCAATCCCATATTATCATGTTTTATTTAAAAATCTCAAGAATTATCACAAATTCTGCAAATTTGTGATTTTTCATGAAAAACTATAGTTTTTTTAATATATTAAAAAAATCTCTCATAATGACGTCTTATGACATTAGTTTTTAATATACTATTATAAATTTTTCATTCTTAAATCCAACGACATTATTGCAGATATTCGGATCCCGCCTCGTAAGCGAAACTGTGGATACTGTTTGAAATGGCGCCATTCTACTTTATTCGCCATTGTTCAGTGCTTTTAGCGGTGCCTTTCACAGTAAACATACTTATAATAAGTGTTTTGTAAACGAAAATGTATATATGTATACATAAAAAGTGTTTGAAGAGAAAAAATTACGGTTTTGAAGATAAAGAAACGCTACCAAAAGTATAAGAATAAAATTTAAACTACTAAAACAAATCTGCAACTCATTGAGCAATAATAACAACTTGTAATTAGCTACAAACTACCTATAGCCATACCATCCGGTTCCATAACAACAATTTGCCGGAGCTCGTAAACTTTTTTCGCAAATTAAGTAACGGTCGTATACATAATAATAATAATAATTATCATAGTTCGTTAAAAGATAATGAATCTTTTAAGCACAATTTTGGTCTGTTGAACTTAATGTTCCTTTTATAACACACCATTCATTAAAAGTATATAATATACTATATATTATGTATCAAGTTTGATAAACGCCATTTTATACACGAATTTAATTTAGGCACGAGCGAGCTTGCGAGCGAGTGCTTAAATTAATGAGTGTATAGAAAAGTTTATAAACGAGGTGCATACTATACTTTTTCTACGACAAGTACTTATTATTATTTTAAAATGATTTAAATCAAAAATTTGTATAGAGCGCCATCTATGAAACAATAGGGGAATCTGTGTGTCACCATCAAATGTCAAATTTTTATATTTTATAATCACAGATTATAAAGGTTATAAACCGAAATGTATTTCTTGAAAATGAACAGTTTTTCACAGTGAAAGTAAAGAAAATGTTTTATGATCACTTTACAGTGGAGTCCGTGCCCGAATTTAAGTTATAGTTTACTGCCGGCGAAATTAAACGGTCAGTCAATGTTCATATAAATTTATAAGTGGGTGAACCAATGGCCGAAACTATTGGTCTCATAGACCCAAGCATTAATGAAACCACGTATTTAAATTTCATTACCAAGTATTAGCATAAAATCATTAGATATCCAGTGATTTATCGAGGCGAGGACTCATCAATAGAATGTAATTTACGTTATCCTATTTGCGTCTAGGTGCAAATTACATCATTGTCGGCGGGCGATTGGTATTCAATAATGAAAACGCAGAGATAATAAGGCAGCGTGTATCTATAGACACGCAGATAGGATAGATATACCTACCCATATTACACGGAAGCAGCTGTTAGACGTATCTACGAACATCTACAAGTTTATTTATGATTGAATTGTGAATGGACGCATGGGAAATCAAAAGTCTGCGTTATTGACAACTTTTTGTAATAATGAGAAGATATGGGCCTTTCCATCTCAAATTGACCGTTTGCCTGGGGTAGGAAATTTTGACATTGCCCTTTTTTTACTTCATATTTTTTTCGTTTAAAGTTTATTATATGAACAACTTTCATACCTGGCTAAATTCCTCATTTAGAAATTATTATTTTTTTAATGAAAATGCGATTTTCTAGTAAATTCGTGGTCCATCGCAAATTTTTTTTTTCTATGGTCATATAACTCAGGTGACCTATATAAAGTCTAATTTAGAACTTTTTGACATATTAAACATTCTTTTGTCACTTCTGGTTTCACGGAAAATACTATTAAGTAAGTAAATTAAATTATTTAAGATTTTAGAGTAAAATGTAAATTCTTAATATTTTTGCATGGGTTACTTTTAAAAGATGTAAAAAGTATAATTAAGTTAATTTTGGTTAAAATAATAAAAATTAATTAATTATTACATACCTAAAAGTAATAAATCGAATGCACAAGAAACTTATAAAAACACGATTTCGAAGAAATGTAGAACATTTACCTACCTACAATTAAAAAAAACGATTAGGTTATCACATTTTCAAGAAAAAATGTCACACGGGTGAACAAAACAAATTTAAGCAAAAAAAAATACAGCTCTCATCGATTTCGGTAAAGAATCTGTAAAAAAATTTGTTAAAAAAAACTTTCATAGAGTCGATGTCAGTTGTCAACAAAATTTTTTACTT